ATGCCACCTGGAAGCTGCAGCTGGATCAAAATGCAGCGGCATGAGAAGTCATGGGCATTCTTCAAAATGCCCATGTAAAACCTCTGCTTCATGAGCTGCACTGATTGCCAGCTTGCTTTTGAGGGAATCTTTTTTGTTCAGCATTTATTTTATAGTACCTAAAAGCTTTACATTCAATCTTTTTATCTGGAATGGTATAGGGTCTCCCGCTTGAGCAGGAGGGGTTGGACTAGAAGACCTCCAAGGTCCCTTCCAACTCTGTTATTCTGTTGAAAGGTCAGTAGTAAGGTCCTCAGATGTCTACACTAAAAGAACATTTTTTGAGAGTAGATGTAGCTATGCGTAGCAAAGCATTTGATGAAAAATCATAAAGAAAATTGGCTTAAAATTCATATTCATTGGATATCCATCACCGACATATAACCAGTCTACTAAAACCTCTCTCTAGGATCTTCACCCTCATTCCCCTTCAGACTGAGTTTCAGGATGCCTGGATGTGACTGTAGAAATAGTACACTGCAGATTATCCTAATTTATATAGGCAAATGTGCAGAATCAGTGATCTGTGATTTGAACATTTTATATAAAATATAAAGTACAAAGCAAAATTAGGCATATTTTTGGAAACAGAGGAACTTTTTAAGCCAGGGGTGTTACACTCGATTTCATTGCGGGCCGCATCAGCATTGTGGTTGTCCTCGGGGGGCCGGTGTGGGTGGCCAGGGTGGTCATGGCCAACTGGGCGTGGCCAACTTGACGTTGCTCATGTGGGCTGGTCAGTGTTGGGGCGGAAATCCAGGGGTTTCTGATGAGTGGGGCAGTGGGCAGGAGGCTTATCCCACAGGATGAGGTGAGTAAGGTGACATGGGACAGGGTGAGGGTGCTTGGCGCATGCCCAGGGAGCAGGGCCGAGGCAACGCTGTGGATCTAAGCTTGGCTGTGGTCTGGCCGGATGGCCGCCACCAGGTTGCAGATTAGCGCCCGGTCGGCCTGGGCTGGGACGAGTCACTGTGGGCCAATCCTTCTCTGTTTCCAGGACGGCCCCGTGGACCGAATCTAATCACCTTGTGGGCCGGACCTGGCCCGCATGCCTTGAGTTTGACATCCCTGTTCTAAGCAATGCAGCATAAAGTACCTCTTTTGAATCCTTTCCATAGTTCTACCATCAGTCACCCAACTTTGAAAAGATAAAAATTAAGCTTTCTAAAACAAGCTTGCATATGGTTCAAATGGATAATAAATGGTAGTGTTGTGATGTTTTAATTATCCAAAATCTGCCAAATCTGATCTCTTCCATAAATTCTTATCTGGCTGTCAGCTTTTTTTCCCCACAGAATTAAAGCAGAAGCAAGAGCGACGTCCGGTCTTAAATTAATATTTATAATTAGGAAAGTCTCACTTGATAAAGTAGAACTAGCAGCAATATTGGGTTAAAGTTTCGTGGCTGTTACCAAAACCAGGAAGGTAGAGAAAATGTGTCTCTATCCAAAGGAAAATAACTTTTAGTCCTTTGCATAGAGTAGATGGGGCCAGCATTATGCAAGAAATGCAAATATGTAAAATAAACAAAGAAATGTTATAAATAAATAGTTCTCAGCAGTTGCTGATATATATTTTTTAATTGTGGCCTTTTCTCTGCAATGAATTGCTTGCAAGAAGTTCCTGGATTCTTGTGTGCTTGCATAATTTCAGCTCATTGTGCTAGGAAGAAGCATGATAATTGCCTTCAGAAATTGTGGGTGCTCCATCACGGGGGGGTGGTGGTTAAGAAGAGACTGGACAGCTACTTGTCTGAAATGGTATAGGGAGATGGACTACAAGACCTGCGATGTCCCTTTCAGCTCTATTCTATTCTACTGGTTATGTAAAATTTAGCAAGAATGGAAACATGAGGAATCTCCCCCCCCCCCCCCCCCCAAAAAATGTCAGATAAACAAAATTATTTATAATTTTTTAGGCAGAATTTAAATATATTTAAATCATCAAACAAGATTATTCCATGACACACAGCTTGACTTGACAATAGCCTATATTTACGAGTTAATTAAAGCGCACCAGTGTTACCTAAATAGAAGCATTGCTTGATTTCAGGAACATCTTTCCTAAGGGCCCAGCAGTAGCCAGCCAATATCCTAGGACTCCACCTGCAATGCAATGTCCTGGTGAAATTGCTCACTGTCTGACTGCACACAAGCTTTCAGGGTGAAAATCCCAGTGAGGGCACAAGAGTAACATGTAGGTCGGTAAAGCTTTAGGAGATCACTCGTTATTTTGCAATACTTTTCTTCTTTGTGATTTTTCTGGAAAGAATTTTTGCAGACGTTTTTGAATGATTTCCATCCAGCCTCATTTAATGCTTTTCAGCTTCATTTAATGCTTCATCGAGCTAACATCTTTACAAAGCACCACTTCATCATCTTGGAAGAAAAAATCGTTAAACTCATGATCATTGTGCTTGTTAGGCAGGAACAATAACCATGAATGGTCTTTTGGCTCCCTCCAAACAACAGGAATGGTAAACACCAAAGAGTGCGTGCAAACCCTTTAACCATCCTGTTGGAAGTCCAGCACAATGTCATAAAACAAATATGAGGTCCTCATTTTCTTGCCTTGTTCATCCACTTCACAACCCAGGAAAATGTCATAGCGTTTTTTGACAATTGGGATGAAATTTTGTTTCTGAGATTTTAAATGTCAACTCACCATGCAAGTAACAGAACGTGTCAGGATTATTTCCAGAATTTTATAGCCATGGTATGCATGATACTTTTATAATCAGTTGTGAACTCTGACACCAGACTGACCAACAACTGCTGTCCAGAAGAGACTGGGCTCATGTGTAGACGTGTTCAAACATGACTCAACGTGTAGAGGGGCTATTCTGTTCTTGCTGTCATGCCTTTTATCTTTGTCTTGATATTATCTATGCCAGAGAGCAATAATAAACTAGATTTAGCTCAGCAATTGTTACAATTACGGTACTAATGTTAAATATACAACTATAATATCACTAATTGAACAGAATAACAAAGGTGGAGTCATAGGAAAAACTAATTCTGATAGAAATAGATCTGTTTTCATGCTTAAATTTCACATGAAAAAACCCTACTTAGAACACCTATTGTAATCCCTGATACAAAATTATTGCTGACCAGTGAAATGAGACTAGACATTAAATCCTATGAAGAGAGATTAAGGTATCCAGTTATATTTAGCCTTGAGGGTAGAAAACCAAATAGAGATAAAGTTGGATTTTATGTCTAGCTGAAAAGTGGAACACAGAAAAGAAAATTCTATTTTGCTGTTCTAGGGATAAAGGACATTTAAGCTACAAGACTGCAGAGTTCTCCAGATGGCAAGTGTAATTGCTGTTTTTAAAAATACCGAGTTTCTCATTATTCTAGATACTATCATAGTGTTGATTGCAATACCATTCTTTTCATGAACACACATTTGTGTGTGAGCGATGAGGGAGCATTCAGACAAACAAAAATCTTGTTTACGTGTTGAAATTCTATATTGCCTACTTTGTGTTATGTCTTTATGTACTGATTGCATCTTGGGGCTCTAGATCAGACGATGAAGTTCTTTTTGAAAAAAAAAACCTCTGACAATTTAGACTGTTACCTATTCTTGGTTACTTATGGTTGTTAGGGCACAGGTGAGATGTTAGGGTACAGATAATGAAGTAGGTGTTTTGTTTTGTTTTTAATTTTCTCACCTCTTTTTACTTTGAATCTTTCTGACTGATATCTTAGGCAACTCTGAAGTAAAAGAATGGTTGAAGGATCCAGTCTGGGTCACTCACTGGAAACAGAGGTTTAGTCTTTTGAGCTTTCGGACCAGTGGTGGGTTGCTACTGGTTCGCCCCGGTTCAGGCGAACTGGTAGCAGTGGCGGCGGGAGGCTCTGCCCACTCGCCCAGACATCATCAAATACGCTCTGCGCATGTGCAGAAACTTCTGCACATGTGCAGAAGTGGCACGAGCGAACCAGTAGCAAAGGTAAGTGAAACCCACCCCTGTTTCGGACTCGTGTTGGAACCCATCTTCAGAGAACTTTTCTCTACCGAACGTATGCTTTGGGTTGTTCTATGCATCGTATTTAAGTGGTGCCTGGTTGTGTGTGGTTTCTTATGGGGTTGATTGGGGCATTGATGGTTAGCTATTAAGTCATTGGCTGTTGTTTCCTTGTGCTACCAAGTTAAAATTGATGGTTAAAATCATCAGGTTGGTGTGACATTATTGTTATTATTATTATTATTTTGCACTGCTTTGATAGCACCAGGAGTTGTTTTTCAGGCAATTTTACCCTGCTGTTCTTTTTCATAGCACTGCTGCCATAATTACCGGAAGGGAGTATTTGAGCAATAGTATTTTCAAGGGGAATCATGTTTTACCAGTGTGCTGTAATCAGATTCAAAACTCAGTTGCAAGAAGAGAGTTAGATGCTAAATAGAGAAATCATTTTTGAAATACTTTCTTCATTTCATTGTGGAATATCCCAGTATACAATTGCTGAAACCTCTATTAATATCAGGGAGAAAACATACAACATATATAGTATATAGATCAGGGGTGAAATCTACTTACCTTCCTTACCGGTTCGGAAGCACACACGCCTGGTTAAAACCAGGAAGTAATGACACCCGGGTGGCGATTGCTACCGGATCGCCGAACCACAGGGAAAAATCGCTACCGGATCAGGTGATCTGGTCTGATCAGGGAGCATTTCACCCCTGATATAGATGTATAAAGAAGAGCTGGGGAAAAAAACCTGTCACTCATAATGCTTTTGATGTCCATCATAGTCGAGATGAAAGCACCACAGAAGTCAAGAGGAAGAAACACCCCATAACCCTTGTTCTACCATAAGTGTCTGAATGCTTCAAGTATTACTCTCTTGTTTACGTATAGCACAATAATTTAAGTAGACATTATCTTCTAGTCAAATGTCATATTGGAATGCATAATATTTAATTCTGTTTATTTTTCTTTAAAGCTTCACAATGAAGATGACCCTGCCGAATCTACAATTGAACAACCGTCCACCTCTACGGAAACTGCACCAGCTTGTCAAACAGAGGCACCTTTACCTGAGGTGGATACTTCCCCTCCACCTTATTGTAGCATCGCTACAGAAGCAGCTGCACCAACAGGTACTGCCTTTTTCATGATTATATAACCACCCCAGGTATTTTTAGCAATGCTGAAATAGTGCCACCAGCACTCCTGTGCCTGCTTCTGCTGACCTGCTTAAAGATGCTTTGCTCAGTTCTTTCATGCAGAAGTCAAATGATTTTGTTTCACATATCACCACAAACAGGCTAAATTGGATGTCCATGCAATTAATTTGTCTGAACGTGCTTCCTCTCTATGCATGATGAGATTAGCGTGTTTTGTTTAATTGATGTTGATTAAACGTGGATTATACTCCCAATAGGATAACCATACAATTTTTTTAAAAAAGCATCTTGGATTTAATTGGTTTAAATCAATAGAGCCGCGGTGGTGCAGTGGTTAGAATGTAGTACTGCAGGCTACTTCTGTTGACTGCCGGCTGCCTGCAAATTGGTAGTTCGAATCTCACTGACTCAAGGTTGACTCCGCCTTCCATCTTTCCGGGGTCGGTAAAATGAGGACCCAGATTGTTGGGGGCAATAGGCTGACTTTGTAAACCGCTTAGAGAGGGCTGTAAAGCACTGTGAAGCAGTATATAAATCTAAGTGCTATTGCTATTTAATTTTATATAAGAATAATTGCATAGAAAGGAAGTATGTTTTCTTGCTTTTCAGTGGTGTGTATGTGTACATACCATTTTTAAAAAGGACATGTAGGGTAGGAAAATCTAATGCAACAATATGAAACATTCCTGTGAATGTAGTTAAACTCTCCAGGTGAAACCCATTTTGACCTGCATCCAGAAAACCCAACAGCACGGGAGCAAACTCAGTTGTTCCATAATATGGGCAGCATGATAATGCCTCCTCTCTCTGTCCCCCTCCCCCATTTAAAGTTTTATAGCACTGGAGAATTACACACAATGTTTTCCAGATAGTCATATTGGATTGGTTGATTCTAGCTGAAGGAGATAATTCTGAAGGTATCTCCACACTCTGCTACATAGGACTTCAAACTGCACACAGAAATCTATTGTCTCCCACTGCAAGGCATGCCGCATAGATCAGGGATATCAAACTGGCAGCCCGCGGGCTGGATGCGTCATGCACAGGCCACACTTACCATGCACAGCTCCACAAAGGCAAAAAACATTGTGATTCGTCATGTGACATCAACGTGATGCGGTGAGTTTCACACCCGTGGCATAGATGTATTGTGCCTATAGCATTTAGTGCCAGGTAACATGTGGGCCACTCTACTTTAAATCAACACTTGTTTCAAACTGGCCTATAAAGGGAACATGAAGCACCTTACAGTACTACAGCTGGTTATGAGGAAAGTATGAGTTACTGTCACAAAATCTTCCTGGCCTTCCCAGGTAGGACCGTAACATTCCTTTAGGCATAGCCTCTAATTGTACATCGAGAGCTAGTTGTTAATCCAGGACAACCCCAGGTCGTAGGCCTGCTTCCTCTAAAGTAATTGGAATTTGAAATTTATTTATTTATTCGGTCAATGACCAGCAACATCAAACAACAAAAGGAGCGATTAACAAAACAGGAAACACAACCAGGATTGAGAAAGAGAAGCAGGTGCAGTCATATGCCAGCAGCTACAAAACAAATCAAGCATGGTACACACTCCAAACACCCCCCAGCACAACAACACCCTGTCCACCCACCCAAGCTTCCTCTAGAGACAAGGACTGGCTGTTAGCCCTGGAGCCATTTTCATCCTGGCACCTTCAGGGTGTTCTGACCTAGGCTTCCTGAGTCAGTAAAACACACGAGTCGTCCCAAAAACCTCTTTTATTGCAACAGCTGTGAATTCTGTTCATTCACAGATGAGTCCCAAATAGTTGTAAAGAGTCCTTCGGGATAAGGCTGATAATCACCCACCTTTATCTCCCTTGACACGCTGCCAAAGACCTAATTGGCAAAGCCATACAGAGTCCAGAATCAAACAGAGCTTCAGGCTTTAAACTGAACTGAATTAACAACGTTGCTTCCTGCAAAGGCCCACGTACCTTTCTTCTCTTTTAAGTCTTATGGGAGGGGGCCGATCATCTCCCAGCCCTACTCCCGAGTCATCCCTTTTGTTTTAATTGTTCTTGCCTTCTGGCAGCTCTGCACATGCGCGCACTGGGAACAGGCTCCCCCTCTTCCTCTGCCTTGCTGAGGTCCGACTCTGGAGGCTCCGGAGTCTGCACATAACTCCCAGATGGCCCTTTCTCTGCCTGTGGCGCAGAGCCCTTGTCCGAGCCTTCCCCAGACTCTAGGACTGGCTCATGTTCCTCCCCAACCTCTTCACTGTCCGATTCCGTTGCCAGCTCCGCAGGGCACAGGCGGATCACAATACAGGATTGCCACAGCGGAGATGAGTTGAGCTGTGGGAACGGGATGTGGGAGGAAAAGATAGCTGGGGGATTGTAGCCAAAATAAAATTCTTTCTTCTGAGAACCAAGGACTTTCCCACCAGGTGCGAGGAGGTGGGATCTGAGACCAAGTGACCCTTGGACTGTGACCTAATTGGATCATGTGATATGACTTACATGGGCAGGGGAAAGAAAACTTTACTTTTAACTAGGGGGAAACCCGAGGAGGGTTTAGAGTCGGATTTCCCCAGATGTGCCAATATGACATGCCTAATAAATCTATACCTGGCCTGCCTTGGAGTTTTCGATTCCGTTGGATGTGTTACTTAGAACAGAGTTCCGTGTTGAACTAACAGCCGCTTTCTCTTATCTGGATTTAGCCCCTGCTTGTTTATTTCCCCACCCAGAAGAGTCTCTTGTTCTTTTACAGAAGTGGAATCGCCCAACGACTTTTACCCAGTGCCGCCTCCCTACAGCGTAGCTACCTCTCTTCCCACTTACGATGAGGCGGAGAAGGCCAAAGCTGCAGCAATGGCAGCTGTGGCAGCAGAAGCAGCAGCGCAAAGAGTGAGTAGGCGGTTTGTGCCACGTAATCGCGTACTTTGGAACCTACACCGCATAAGTCTGTGTTTTGTATGCACCGTATTAAGTGTTTTTCCTAGTTCTACTGTACGTTTGCTTAGAGTTTTTTTTTTTAAAGGATACATATTTCTTATTTAAGCATGGAGGTCTTTTTAATCACTTCAAAACTTAATCGCTGAAAGGGGCACAAGGGGCACTTGCCTGTAACGGTAACTACCCAAGCAAGTGCAGCCTACAGGTAGTCCTCGGTTTACGACCCCCAATTGAGCCCAAAAACTGTTGCTAAGCAAGACTGTTACTCAGTGAGTTTTGCCCCTTTTTACGACCTTTCTCACCACAGTGGTTAAGTGAATCACTGAAGTTGTTAGGTCAGTAACACAGTTGTTAAGTGAGTCTGGGCTTCCCTATTCATTTTGCTTGTCAGAAGGTCTCAAAAGAGGATCGCATGACCCCAGGAAACTGCAACTGTCATAAGTACAAGCCAGTTGCCAAGCATCTGAATTTTGATCACATGACTGAGAGGCTGTTTCAATGGTCCGAAGTGTCAAAAACAATCATAAATCCCTTTTTTTCAGTGCCGTTGTAACTTTGAACGGTCACTAAACGGACTGTTGTAAATCGGGGACTACCTGTATTCAGAAACTCAGTCGGTGCAGTGGCTTTTTTCAGACTTTGACAAGCAGCAACGGCAGCTTCTTTTCCCCAATTCCTGATAGATTTCTGTAGATACTAATGGGTTGTATTTAATCTGACAATGTCACAAGTTAAAGTGCCACATAGTTATGCTACATCGAGGCTCAACTTCCTAGACAAGTAATAGAATTTACACAGGGTAGCCCCCTTTATTTAATCTGTGATGCAAGTTGCAGGTTCTAATTTGTAAATACTGTGCATATTATGTTAACAGTAATATTTTTATGATATTGTATATTGTATACTGTTCACGCAATCCCAGAAAGCATGTAATAATACAGTATAATCTTGTATGGAGAGCAGTAAGCAGTTTTTTAAATATACTTCATGTAATGTTATTAGATTATATTTCATGTAATCCTCTTATATACAAAAAAAAAATTGCAATGAGTCAGCGACAAATGGTTGAGCAAAATTCACTGTATGTGTTTAATAGGAATAATTTACCGTTAATTTTCGCCCCCAAACTTTGAATTACTGGGTTTCGGTGTCCTCGGTTTAACGTCATTGTATCTTAAAGTTTATTTAAAAATTAATTTGCAGAGATAAGAGTTTTAACATTTTGACTTGTACAGAATGATTTAACACACGTTTAGTTCTTCTGTCTTATTTTCTTTACATGCTTAGCACGGCCATTTTAGGGAGTCTAGGAGTCTGTTTGATGAAATATTCCTGAGTCCACCGGAGGTATGGTTCCATTCTGTGAAGTTTAGATTTTGCAGTGAAGTTTATTTATGGCAAACAGTCATTTTTTTAAAAAAAAAACAAAAAATCTTTTCCTTTTCTAAATAAAATTACCCTCTCAAATGAATACTTTTCATAAAATGAATACTTTCATAAAAGAAAGTGATTTATGTTGCAGTTCTGTTCATTTCTGTTTGGAAGTGTCCTCTTGCATGCAGTAAGATTATAGTCCCAGTAAAATGAATACAAGGCACTAATGGATTATAATATCTCTTGGCTGCTATTTGCATTTGGTTTCTTTTTTTGTATTGTGTTTTTTGACTGTTTTAATTGTTTTTATGATTGTTCGCCACCCAGACTTGCTGGTTTGAGATGGGCGGCTGTACAAATTGAATAAATAAATAAAATGGAAAATAAATAAATATCAAAGGGCAGTCCTACATAGATTTATTTAGAGGTGGGCTGCACAGAGCAGGGTAGGGCATATTTCAACACATTATGCATGGGTTGATTTTTGTTCATAAGGATATTTAACTCTTTTTTTAAAAAAAAAAACATATTTTTATTAGATTATAGAATAAAATACAAAAATATGAAAGCAAATAAGAGGATACAATGGGAAGGCAAAGGGGAAATAGAAGTGAGGAGGGGAGGAAGAAAAGAAAAAAAGAAGAAAAGGCGTTGACTTCCGACTCCCTCTGTTGCAGTAGAATAAAACATCAAACCTGAATTTTTTACTTTTCCATAATAATATAAACTAGACATTTCTGTAACAACAAATCAGTCCTAATTCATAAAACCCAAAATCAAAGTTTCCTTTTTTTCCCCATGTCAAGCACAAAAGGCCAGAATCACAAAAGAACTTACTGGTATATTTTTTTCTTTAATCAAAACATTCAATTTAGCTATCTCTGCCAGCTCCATCAACTTCTGTAGCCCGTTGTCCATGGTGGGAATGGAAGTGTCCTTCCGCGTCAACATATATAAAACCAAAGTTCCAATTTTTTTTTCTAAGTCTTTTTTCATTAAACCCAGAAGAAAAGTCTCTGGCTTCAGAATGTCCATCTCCATTTTTAGAATTTTCTGTAAGGATATTTAGTTCTTATAATTATGGAGAATAATTATAGAGGCATTTTGTTTAATGAATGACACCATGAATGAGGGAGTGGAGGTCATCCACACTCCAGACTGCTCCAGGGCACTCATGTATTTATTATATACACTTTGCTTTGAATTTGATCCTCCCAAAAATACTTCGGAGCACTCATGCGCCAACATTGTAAAGCAGCCATATACCTTCTTTCAGAATTACAGAGTTGCCCTCAGTAATTATAGGTAGTCCTTGACTTACGACTACAGTTGAGCAGTCTGTCGCTAAGCGAGACAGTTGTTAAGTGAGTTTTGCCCCATTTGTACAATTTTTCTGGCTACCCTTGTTAAGTGAATCTCTGCAGTCATTAAGTTAGTGCCACAGTTCTTAAGTGACTTGGGCTTCCCCCTTGACTTTGCTTGTCAGAAAAAGTGATGAGGTGACCTGGGCACACCGCAACCGTCATAAATATATGCCAATTGCCAAACACTTGTAGTTTGATGTGGGTGACCACGGGGATGCTGCAACGGTTGTAAGTGTGAAAAACGATAATAAATCACTGTTGTAACTTTGAACAGTTCACTAAACAAACTGTTGTAGGTCAGTTACCTGTACTCAGTGATTCTTGGAAAGGACCCAGGTGCTTTTAAGAAGTTTCCCACAGATGTTGCATGATGCTTGAGCTGCCTCTTGGAGATCTAATTGAAAGAACTAAATAGTCCTAGTATTCATTTATGTAGCACGTAATACTGTTTAGAGAGCTTTTAAGTTTTAGAGTTTAGATGCTGTTTCCAGTACAGGGAGCAACTGAGATTTGGATGAAATTGGGGGGGGGGGGGGGGGCTATTTTTAAAAGCAAATAAGGTTTCCAATGCAATTAATTTTCTAGTGGGAGACAATTTCAAGAATGAATTACACTCCTTAAATCTTAAATCTATTTTGTTGTTGTTGTTTGTGTGACTAACTTAGTTGTTTACCAGAATAAGGGATCAGATTCTACTATTCTGAAATATGTTCGCTTAATGTATCTAATATTTGTTTGTCTTGGATTCTGCTCACTGGAATATTCAAGGATAAAATTATTATTAAATTACATAATAAAATAGTTAAACTATTGATAGCTTTCATGTTGATGACTGGTTATTTAATCACCGTCATAAATGAATATATCAGGGGTGAAATGCTACCAGTTCGGTCAAACTGGTAGTAAAAAAGGCTAGTGATTTGCCAAACAGGTAGTAAAAAAAGCTACTGGTTCGCTGAACTGGTAGTAAAAAATGTAAAAATAATAATAATAATAATTCCGATGAGCGACGCGTGATCGTCGGAACTTTTTTTTTTATTTTTTACTTTTTTAGCATTTTTTTACTTCCTATTCGGGTTTGGCGCATGCATGGCCAGCGAACCGGTAATAAACTAGTTCAGATTTCATCACTGGAATATACCCTAGGATATCTGAATGTAAAGTTCAGATATGTGTTTCTCATTCTCTCATGTGCTTATAATAATATCTTACATTCTTCATACATTTCTCAGGTAATTAGGATCAGCAGATTTAAAGGGATATATATCAAGATATGACTTGATACGATTTTCAATAATTAGAGAATTCAGTGCTTTAACTCCTTCTGAGACTACTGTTAAAAATAATTAATTAAAAACTAGCGAAATCATTCTATTTCTATAAAAGAATTAACATTTGTTGGCATATAATTTTGACTATCTCGATTTAGAGTTATAGTACTCTAATCCAGATTTTGTGATCCTCTTTATGTTTACCCTATTCAAATATAATTTCAGGGATTCTAAGGTTATAGCAATTTAAAAGGGAAATAGCCTGTTTATTTGCTTATTTTGGCAAATAAGTTTTAATGATGAAATAGCAAGTTGAAATCTCTAAATAAAAATTTTGTTTATTTCAAATATTTTTGGAGTGTAGAAAGTGATACATGAATTTAATATGCTTTAAAGGATACTACTTCAGTTTCTGGAAAGTCTTTTTAAAGAAATAAACCTAGTGTTTAAGAATAATTCCCAGTTTAAAAAGAGACATATACTGAGTGGATTTTTTAAAAAACAAACAGTTAAAATAGCATAGCAGTTTACCTTGTTTCAAAGGATGAAGTGCATGCTTTCTAAATTAGCTTGCATAATTCTGCTGAGCATTCATCTGCATATTTGTATTTCAAAATGAAAAACAGAGATTATTTTGGGAAGAGTTGCAATGTGTTGTGCTGCAAATTTAGTTCTTTGAAATTGCATGCAAATAAACTGCTTTAGACAATTTATAACGGCGGATGGTGGGGGGGCTGCCTGCCTAGACAACTTCATGTAACATTTTTTTGGGACGTTAGCACCCTCTGGTGTTTGAATATCAGCAAAGCATTAATTTTAGAATGCTTTCAGTTCTTTGTGGATTGAATGTTGTGATAGTTTTTACTATTGTTGTTGCATGTTTGGATGGCCGTGCATTGCATGTCTCAAATCTGGGGGATGTAAAATGTTAGTGAAGTATCAGTTGTATACTTACTGTATTTTGTAATTTATCAAAGTTATGAAATTCTGAAGTGTCACATCCTTCCCATATGGATCATTTGCATGGCCCCACTGTGGTCAACATGTGGATAAAAACATTTGGGTTTCATGATTAGTTCATTATTGGTTTGCCTTATAAATATATTTTCAGTAATCAATAATCTTGTCAGCCTAGTGTCTTTTCCTTTGTATCCTTAAGAATGATTTTACCTCCCTTTGGATGCATTGTTTGGCCAATATACACACATCAAGTATTAAGTAATACAAACTTTCCTTCTGAATAGAAAGCATAGATATTCTTACATTCTTACTTGCTTTCCATTAGACAGTATGAGAAAATGTTAATTGAATGTATCTAGTGAAATACTCTGCCAATGGACATACATTAGGGCAAAATAAAATAAAAAAATAGCCAGATGTTGCACCGTATAAAAATATACTTGCCTTTTTTGAGTGGAGTACATGAAACTCATGATTATACTATGGATTAGTCATTCCTTCCTGCTTTCACATATAAAAAAAGAAAAGGTTTCAAGACACAAAATGAGAACAGTTAGAGAGTGTTGTTTTTAAAAGTTTAGTGGCTGGCTTACCATTGGAAGAGGAAATCTTGAGAATCTTTTATTCCCTACAACATAATGTTTCTGAGCAGAGTATCCCAAGAAAACAAACTATATACTTAATGAAAGATACTCACTTGCAGCGAATCACACAACATTCTGGAAATAGAATGTTAAAATGTTATAGAATGTTTCTTAGCTACTAAGAGACTCTATCAAACACATAGTCCCAAAAGTGCTTTTTTTTCAAAAGGCAACTGGACTTTGTTTTTCCTTGCAGAGGTTTCACTTCTCGTCCAGGAAGCTTCTTCAGTTCTGACTGAACGGTGGAGAATGGAAGGATTTATATTCCTTGCAGTCATCTGGTCATTAGCACTCCTTATGAGGATCATTGAGGTCACTTGAAGAGTTTTTCTGTGTCAAAGCTGGGATTAGAATCGAATAATAAAATAACATGCATTTACCCTCCATATTTCTTATTTTGCAGTGGTTCAAGGGCTGTTGTCTATTACAACTGTGGCTAGCACAATAACTAGTAATAAGTGTGTGCCATAGAAATGATCTTTAGCTAAGGACTGATATAGATAGATAGATGGATGGATGGATGGATGGATGGATGGATGGATGGATGGATAGATAGATAGATAGATAGATAGATAGATAGATAGATAGATAGATAATCTAATAAAATAAAATTCCTTTGAGTTCCATTCCTGGAGACTTCTGGTCATGGCAACAGCACAAAAATAGTTTGTAAATGCCTTTTTCCGAAGTTTTTTAAAACCTGGAAATCTGTTATTTTTACCAGCCTCCAATTCAATGACTACAGTACTCAGGCCTGATCCTGTATATTATATCCAGGTTCTGCCAAAATAAGGTAAAATGTTCTAACAGGCAAGCACATGAATTCCACCAGCTAGCTAATTTTAGATTAGTTACAGAGAGGTAGAAAAAGGCCATCTAAAGTCCATCTCATTATAAAAAGAAAATACAAATAAATAAAAATAAATAATTAAAAATACATAAATTAGAAAGAAAAAAACCTCAAAAGGCAGACTCGATGGACTACTCAATCTCTTTCTGCCATCTGTTTCTATCTACCATTTTTACTCTAAAATATAACTTAAAAACTAGGGCGTATGGCTGCTAGTAATAAATGCAACATAAGATACATTTTGAAGATGTATTGTTGATCTGATTTTAATGAAGGGTCATGGCAATTTATGTCTGATGTAACCGGATAACTGAAGTACTTCCCTTCGGTAATGCATCCTTGATTTTATACATATTCCTGCAAAAAGTTGTGATTTACAAAATCTTACTTATTATCATTGTGTTAAAATGTGTTTCTTGTCCTCTTAAAGGAAGAAGAATATCCCCCGAGAGATGACTTCAGTGATGCAGACCAACTCCGTGTGGGGAATGATGGCATTTTTATGTTGGCTTTTTTCAGTCAGTAATTTTTCTATTATTGTTTTAAGTTACTTTCGTTTAAAGGAGAATATTTCTCTCATACATGTATATCAGGGGTGTCAAACTCAATTTCCTTGAGGGCCGCATCAGGGTTATGTTTGACCTCAGGGGGACCTGGGTGGGCATGGACAGCTTGACATTCATGTCGGGGGCGCCTGTGGTGGCCCAAGCATTCTGCCAGTGCAAACAGGCTCCCTAGCTCTGTTTTTGGCTGGGACAGCCTCCTGCAACCCTCTGCCAGCTAAAATGGAGCGTGTGACCCTCCCGAGCACCCGTTTCGCTAGCAGAGGCAACACAGGCCGATCCTTCGCAGTTTCCAGGGTGGCCCCGCGGGCCAGATCTAAGAACCCCGTGGGCTGAATCTGGCCCACGGATCTTGAGATTGACATCCCTGATGTATATGCACTACTGATAGGAAGGCAGAAGTGCTGGTAGGATGTGGCAATGGGTTGGAGAAAATGGGATTGTCTTTCCTGCAAATGCTGAAAATGTATATTTGCAGTTAATAATTTCAATTAAGTTTTTCCTCATTGCAGAATAATTGAATACAATGTACTGAATAACTGTATATGTTTGTCACTTAAGTTCCTTTTAAGAGTACTTTATCTCTTGGTGATGGAGAGAAAACGTTAATTTCTATATGCATGCCTTTGAAAATATAATGTGTAATGAAACTGGTTGCAATCCATTTGTGATATGCGACTGCCACCTTGTGACAAATGTGTTCATTACAACTTTAAAGTTCTAAGACTTGTAGCATTTTTATCATAGGTAAGATAAAGTAATATGGGAAGAAAATTATATTCTTGATGATTAATATTCCTATAAATGGCAATTGACTGGATACATATCCTGGACAAATAGTAAACCTTATAAATAGATTAACAAGATAAAAATGAACTCTTAAAAGGCCTGGTTTATATAAAATTTGCATAATGCAATGCATAAAATATGCTCTCTGAAATATTTAAGATAAGCTTTTTGAGTCTTTTTCTTAAATTGTTTTTGAACAATGTTCTATCGGGAATGAAGATACAGCAATTGAATTGTTCTCCATAATTTATGCATACAAAACAATGAGGGACATGTTTTGTTTTTTAAAAAAGATGTTCTTATTTTAATGCAAATTCCCATAGTGACATGCTAAAAGCATATTTTAAAAATTAACACCAATTATAAAACATGGCAGCTACAAAGCCTCTCGAGACAGGCCTAAAAGTACAGATTGAAATGCTGATATTAAGGCAGTAGACAGTTCTCCTAACCAAGAGAATTGCCTACATTATAGGGTTCTCCAGCTACTACCTGCCTAACACCAAAAGGAGGATATCAAACATTGTTCTTAACACAAAAGTAAACGTGATATAGACAATCCTTGAGATACCTGTTCCCTACGTTTTCCAATTCTGTAGATTTTGGTAAATACTAATACATTAGAAGACAATGTGATTGTTAAGCCATAGCGACAGATGTTCCAATGTTGGTGTAAGCAATAGAGATCTGATTTTTTCTTCTCAGCAGTGGTAAAACTCAGAAAGGCTGAACAGAGATGCCATTCACCTCAAAAAGGAAAAAGTGCATCTTTTAACCTCCATCTTTCACATGGGAGGAGGTTGATAGAAACCAATATTTTCTATGTTTCAGTATATTTCTATGATACTGTGGCATCAGGCAGGATCCAAACATAACTCATCCTCTCGTGATATTTCACCAGCCATTGAAGCCAGAAATCTGATTGCAATCAAATCATGGCTTCTTGGCCAGGTTTCCATGTTCTAATCCATGGATTCCACTCTCTCACCAGGATACACTTCATTAAGAAGCTTCAGTCTTGCAGTTCTCACCTAGATCTTTGTTACAAATTTCATATCTGAAATATAATATCTCATACATGAATCACCAAAGGACCATTTTTAAAAATCATTTTTGTGATTTCACGCTGGCTTTCCGCTGGCAAGATCTAGAGGGGTTAATAATTTGCCTTTCCATCACTTGATAGCAATCCCAAGCAGTTTAACTGTTAATAATTGCCTTCCATTTGAAAAATATTTAAATTCTCAAATGCTTTCCCGTTTAATCCAAGTTTTAACAAAATTTTGTCTCTGTGTTTTTTTTTTAGTGGCATTCATTTTCAACTGGATTGGATTTTGCTTATCATTCTGTATAACTAACACCATAGCAGGAAGATATGGTGCAATCTGTGGATTTGGATTGTCTTTGATCAAATGGATTCTTATTGTCCGGGTGAGGTTTTTTTTATTTGGGGATTCTGCTTTTTGGTTTCAGTATGGAACCATATTAAATTAAATGCAATTAATTATATATTCCTTAGTCTGTTATAAGGTTGATAAATTATCCTCTGCTGGTAAAAAGTCAACATATGGAAACTTTAAATTCTATTGTATATTGCAACGAAATTTAAATGGCTGTTTTGTGTGAAGTTATTGGGACTTTTGCTTTTAAAATTCCTGCTTTTACGTTTATTTACCACTGAAAGCCTTTTTTTCCTTACTGAAATATGAATATGATTTGGCTTGTTATGCATTACTTGGTTTGAGTTATATTTTAAATGAGAGCCAGTTTGGTGTAGTGGTTAAGGCATCAGGCTAGAATCTGGGAGACCGTGAATTCTAGTCCTGCCTTAGCCATGAATGCCAGCTGGGTGACTTTGGGCAAGTCACTCACTCTTAGCTCAACTTACCTAACAGGGTTGTTGTGGGGGAAATAGAAGGAGGAAGGTAGATATGTTTGCTGCCTTTTGTAATTTGCAAAACCAATAAAGTTGGGATACAAATAAATAAATATATGTAGGCTTATTTCCATTGATCCAAGAAATTCATTGATTTTCTGCCAGAGTTCATATCTGCTGGTCTCCCAGAGTTCAGAGAAGAGCAACAAAGATGAATAGGGGCAAGGAGACTAAAACACATGAAGAATATTTGCAGGAATTGAGTATGTCTAGTCTAGTGAAAAGAAAGACTAGGAGTTACATGATAATGGTGTTCCAATATTTGAGGGACTGCCACAAAGAAGAAGGGGTAACTGTAAGCTGCCCAGAACCCTATGCTAAGATGGGTGGCCAATACATTTTATAAATAAATAAGTAAAAGTCAGAATAGCACATGGCCATTGGTCTATTAAAATAAGCGCAGAGTTCTTTTTATTGGAGCATGTTTTAAGTTGGGTTTGCATATACTGTACCATAAATCAATAAAGACAATCTAAAACCAGGGTTTAGAGAATGCCACTTCCATTTGAAATATTTTATATTAGTTAGTGATTCTGGCTAGTCCTTTAAACATGAACACTTGTCCGTTTTCCTAAAATCTAACTGCATTTGTTAACACAAAGGCATTGGTTAAAAACTATACTTATGGTTGTTTACTAAGCAAACAACAAAAAAGATGGGAGTGTAAACAAAAGATAAACCCTATTTTTAAGCAAATAAAAAGGAAAAGAAACTTGAAAATGTGGGTACATATTTGTACTTGTATACATTTTAAGGAAAAATGCAAATGCAAATATATTACAATTTTTTCATTTAGCTAAGGCATTGTAAGTATATTTGAATGAATCTCAAAGTTCTTTATTGCATTGACATTCATCCGAAAGTGTTTTCCATTTACTGAAAAAAATGTTAACATTAATTGATTTAAAGAAAGAAATACTTCTGTTTTCCAGCATTTTGGAATAACAGCGTTATTGGCTAATAAGAGGAAATTAATCAGTTCCTTACCCTGAATTGATTTATAAGCGTTAGGAAAATAAACAGTGACTCAACCACAGACTCCATTGTTGAAGACTGTTCTATGATTTTTTCCCCCTATTTTCCTAATCTTTGACTAAAAATGCCAGACTAATTGGGCCTTGCTAGAAAATACAAAATACATTTGTTTCCAACTCACAATACCACCTCAAAAGTACAGAAGTAACCACTTTTATCTGATTTTAAATTCCTTTTGCAAAAAAAAGTCTTGAATTAATTCGACTTTTAAAAAAAGCTTGGCTGAAGAATATATTACTCCTTGCTTATATTTGAAAAGAAAATGAACCAAAGCTTTCCTTAATTGTTCACAACATAAGAGATTGCCCTCTCTTATGTTGTGAAGGAAGCAGACCACAGAAAGGAAGGACACTTTTATGAAGCCATATCTGTGGCCCTTAATCTCTAAACAGAATCATATTCAAATAGGTAGTCATCTAGATAGCCAAATTCCAAGCTATTTATGACTTTCAAAGTTTAAAACAACCATTTAAAGTACATCTGGAGAGCAGTTAAAAATTGTTACAGGGTTTTCAACATACTTCTAATACTTGCCTTACATTGTACTCAAATGAGCATCTTGGGGATTTTTGGTTTTAATATTAAAAGATTATTATATTGTTTTGGATGACAGGTACTAATGTACCAGTAGAACAATAGTGGTGAACTTATAGTGGTAAAGAGACTCATGTTTAATATTTTCTACACAAATTGCTTAGATTTCTTTGTTTGCAACTACACATAGCAAAATGTCTAGTGTTTTCTTTACTGTTCTAATAATAGTATTAGAACATTTGTTTATTTTCCTAAATTCATTAACTGTACTTCCTTTTAGCATTTCTGTATATCCAAAATACATCTTTGTTGCATCAGTAATCTTTCATATATCACAGTGATAACTTATATCTTGCCTTTTTTTTTTCTTATCAGTTCTCGGATTACTTCACTGGCTATTTCAATGGACAGTACTGGCTTTGGTGGATATTTCTTGTACTTGGTAAGTGCTGATCGAAAGGCTTAATTTCCTGGTTTTAACTCTATAAAATCCAAGGGCAAATTTAAGAGAGAGTGAATATATCATGAATGGGTGCATGCGTCCTTGAGTGTGCATTTATCTGTGTCAAGAATGGATCTAACTGGTCTGTCACAGATCAATGCCAGAAGCAGAATTTTCGTAGCATAGTAAGATGCTTGAGTATTCTAAAGTTATGACTTTTTAGTGACTTGATTTCCATACTGCAATTGCTACTGAAATTAAATATTTCATTGTAAAATAAAATACAGTGAGAAAAGGTAATACACATAGGCAAAAAACAAATAAACAAACAAAAAATACACCAAACGCAAAGGTATAGAATAGGTGGTATTCAATATTAGCAACTGCAAGAGGGATCTAGATGTTGTAGTAGATCAGGGGCGTCAAACTCAAGGCCCGCAGGCCAGATCCGGCCCGCGATGAGGCTGAATCCAGTCTGCGTGGCCATCCTGGAAACTGTAAGGCTGCGTCACTTCGGCCCAGCCCACACCATCCCAGCATGTGCGTGCACGCACAGGTCCAGTTCTCTGTCACCACGTGCAGAGCAACTAAAATAGTCTGTGGGACTACGGTAAAAAAAAAAGTTCAGACCTTCCAACCTCGTAAGATCTTTTTTTTTTAAATGAGAAGTTGGAAGGTCTGAACTATTTTTTTTACTGTAGTCCCACAGACTACATTAGTTGCTCTGCATGCCATGTGGCGATGGCGAAAGGAGGTTAGTGAAGGATGTGGCTGCCCTGGGTGGCGGGGGTGAGAGTTTGGCCTGGCTGAAGGGCCCTCAGGTAATCCGGGGCGGGGGAGGGCAGCTCTGCACACCCTGCCTTGCTTTGTACTCCATCCCCCAGCCTTGCTTTGTTCTTCACCACTTCTTGCTCACTACTGTAACCTAGCAGGAGACTGAGCAACGCACTGGTGTGATGGCCACAAAGCGAGGCGGTGGGGGGGGGGGGGGAAGTACAAAGCAAAACGGGGAGTGCAGAACTGCCCCCCCACACCCTGCACCGGCTTACCTGAGTGCCCCACCAGCCAGGCACTGAAGGCACTGAAGACAGGGAGAGAGAAAGAGAGGAGGGGGGCTCTCCAAACTCTGTGTGTGTGTATGAGAGAGAGAGAGCACGCGATCCCTGCTTCAGTTGGGGCATTCAAGCTGCTGGCAGGAGCCACCTGAGCAGCTGTTTTTCTCCCCATCCTCCCCACTCAAGCAGCGGCAGGCTCTGCGGGACAGCAGGGCCTCTCATTTCTCCCCCAGCGCGGCAAACTCCAGCTTCAGTCGGGGCATTCAAGCTGCTAATGGCGGCAGCCACCTAAGCAGCCATGATTGCCCCCTCCCCAACCAGCCAGCCAGCACCGCCTGACCTGTTTCCTGCCTGGCCAGCCGGCGCAAAGCCTCGCTGTTCTGTCTTATAAGTAGCTACAGACTACTAGCAAAAGTGGCATTTGATCACAAGGCGAGGAATGTTTCTCCTTTTGCATTTGAGCATCCAAGAAGGGACAGGAAAGACAAAGAAAAAGAAGGAAAGGGGGGAAGAGAGCAAGGAAGGAAAAAGAAGAAAAGAGGGGAAGTAAGAAGTAAGAAAGGAGAATGAAGAGGGAAGGAAAAAGAAGAAAAGGGAGGGAGGGAGGGAGGGAGGAAGGAAGGAAGGAAGGAAGGAAGGAAGGAGATTATAATAAGAGAGAATGAGAGTCTGAGTTAAATCCTGCCTTAGCATTTGGCCACCAGCAGCCCTGCTGCCTTTGGTCCCCTCCTCCTGACCTCTCCTGGTGGTCTCCCATCCTATCGCTGAGGATGCTTTGGTTACAAAGCTGGGTCTCCTCATAAGGAGATGGAGTGGGCCTCCCTCTGACCCACACACTTTGCCCTCCCACGCACACCATGAGCTACCTGGCCAAGGAGAGCGAGCACTGCAGCAGTGGGAGTTGCCACACCCACACCCACCATGGCCACACCTACCCTGGCTCCCTGAAGTCATCCACAATGCTGATGCGGCCCTCAATGAAATTGAGTTTGACACCCCTGTAGTAGATCACACTTAAATATGAGCCAGTGGTGCGCTGCAGGTGCCAGGATATTTAATGTTTTTAAATATTTCATATTCTGTTTCTGTTTTTAGGCCTCCTTCTATTTTTCCGAGGTTTTGTTAATTACCTGAAAGTTAGAAATATGTCTGAGAGTATGGCGGCAGCTCATAGAACAAGATTTTTCTTCTTGTATTAGAGGTAAGCCATGTTATTCTCTTTATAAGTAAATACCGTACTTTTTGGAATATAAGACATACCTTTTCTTCCCCCTAAAAGGGGGTCAAAATTTAGGTGCGTCGTATACACCTAATGTAGCCCCGCCCACCCACTGGCCCCCACCTTTTGGCCTCTGCCTCCCAGCAATTTACCTCCTTGCAAGCAAGCAGCAAGAAAAAACAGCTCCTTGCAGCTTCAGCACAGCCTAATTAGCACAAGTTGATTGGATCGGCCTCCCGACTCTCAGCTGATTTGCTCTCAGCTGTTTTGTGCAGGGCTCTGCTGCTTGCTGCAAAGAGGTTAATTGCTGGGAGCAGATTTTTTTTTCCTTGTGCTAATCAAGCTATGCTGAAAACGAAAATGAAAGTAAAGCAGGCTGTTTGCTGTTTGCTGCAACGAGGCAAAATTGCGCAGAAGCAGATTTCTTTTTCTTTTTCACCAAAAAAGGTAGGTGCGTCTTATACTCAGGTGCATCTTATACTCTGAAAAATACGGTACTTAAATTGCATGTGAAGGAAAAGCATTACCTAACAATAGATGGAAAGAAATGTTTTCCTGCTGAACAACAGAAAATATGAACATTGTCTTATAAAGAAAGAGTACAGGGGTAGTACAGGGGTTTAAGGCACCCTGTTATTAAGCTGGTTATTAAGCTGGTTATTAAGACCAGCTGCCTGCAATTACTGCAGGGTTCGAATCTCGCCAAGGCTCAAGGTTGACTCAGCCTTCCATCCTTTCTAAGGTAGGTAAATTGAGGACCCAGGTGGGGGCAATAAGCTGACTTTGTATAAATATACAAAAGGATGAAGGCTATTGCTGAGCACATTGTAAGCCGCCCTGAGTCTTCGGAGAAGGGCGGCATATAAATCAAATTAAAAAAAAAAAAAAGATTGGGAATCCTTAAACTTAAAAAAAATTCTTATCCTTGATTTTTCAAGCCTAATTTGTCAATAACTTTTTTTTTTAATTTGATTTATATGCCGCCCTTCTCCGAAGACTCAGGGCGGCTTACAATGTGTTAAGCAATAGCCTTCATACTTTTGTATATTTATAAATAGTCAGCTTATTGCCTCCACAATCTGGGTCATCATTTTACCTACCTTAGAAAGGATGGAAGACTGAGTCAGCCTTGAGCCTGGTGAGATTTGAACTTGCAGTAATTGCAGGCAGCTGATGTTAATAACAGTGCTTTAGACTGTGTTACCAGGGCTGCGCTATCAGGGCTCCTAACTTCCCCATCCTTCCCCCAGAATTCCTCTACAAATATTCATCACAAGTAGTGCTAAGTTTTGATTTCTTTGGCATGTTCTGATCAACTGTTATATCAGTTTAATGTTTTATTATGGCAAAAGTTATAGTGGATAATCAAGTTGGTATTATGTATAATTTGTGGTTTTTCTGTTGGATTCACTGACAAATTTATCCTCCTGCATACAATCTCTTTCATATTTTCATAGTGAGGTTAAGAACAGACTCTAAAAACACCCTTTTCATATCTGAAAAGTTTAAAGTATATTTCTTACTATCAAATCTCAAAGAAGGCGATGAGTTTTAATTGATGGATAATTTTAAGAGTTGAATGTATTCATTATAAATCTGTACATATTCTTACAGATTTCAGGGCACTTGACATTCAAGGTCACATATACAGTAATACAAATCCAGTATTATTATTCACTTATTTCAAATCTGTGATATGTGCATTGTAAGTTGAAGGCAGGTTTAATAAATGTCAACTAGAAATTGTGTATCAAAGTGAGATTTGAAGCCATTATTCTCAGTTTGTTATTAGTTCTCACAGTGACTGTGGCTCACTGCTTTTTATTTCACATCAAAATAGTCATTATCCTGAATTCTTTTGTTTCTGCCCAGATGTGATCATAACTTAGGTGACATTTAAATGTATGCTGTCTTAACAAATTAAATAAGCAACTTAAATGAATTCCCCCAAGGAGTTTAAATCCTATAATAGAAGGAGTGAGAGGCGAAATGAAGGTGAGAAAAGAAAGCTACAAATGCTTCTACGCATCCTTAAGCTTTAGTTACAATTGGAGATTGAGAAGATTAAACTAAAGATTTTATGGAAAACTTTGATTATAAGAGGGAATGAATGAAAGGCTGAGGTAGGCATACCACAGACATGCTCAAAGATTATAATTCAGATGGAAGTTGTAACGATATAAGGAGCAGTTAGTTAAGGTCACAGAAAACCTTCAAATGACTGCAATTATTAATATGAGATGGGACAGAGAACAACCATGGACACATTTCCCATATGTAACAGTTAACAATATTTAAAATTAATTTATTTTCCTATCAGTTATTAGCTAAGAAGACTTTGGTGATAAAAGTTGTAGCCTGCGCATTTATTATGGCTTCACATTAATTAACTCTAGTGAACTTTTTTAAAAAAATTATTGTAATAGCCAGCCCTGTGACAACAGCCTTCGAAGTACTTCATGGTATAAAGCAAAATGTAAATTGCAATATAAATGTATTGCATTTATTTAAAATATATTGCAACACTTTAAAAGCACACATATGATTCTAGATGCCTAAAGAGAGAACACTTAACATTTTGGTACTAGATATTTGTTTAGGCAGGGGAATTTTGTGGCATTTGTGGAAAAGTCTGCAAAATTCGGCATGCCTGATAGATGGATATTCCAGCTGAACTGCTGTTGAAAACTCTTACCATGGTACTAACTAATCAAGCATTTAACAGGGTTGATATTTCCAAAAGAGATTTTTTTTAAAAAAAAAAAAATATTTTGACACTCACAGAAGTAAAGGATGAAAAACACATGGCTTGTAGACTTAGTGAAGTGGTCTTGATTTCTTTGTACGTACTTGACCGTTTGAGTAATGAAGTAGCATCTTCCATTGCAAAGGATGGCAAGATGAATGGAGTGCAGTTCGCGTAAACTGAAATGTAGCTCTTGCTTTTTTTCATTCACAGATTGCAGCAACCAGGCATTCCTCTTTATCAATGTGAACTTCCAACCCAACAGTTACCTTCCGACGAATAGGGAACGATGACTACTGTATCTGAAGCAGGATTCTTTTTGCCGCTTAGTGAATGACGGAATGGTTCATGCTTAAGTGCCAGTTCTGTTCATTCTAGTCAATATTTATATTAAGCATTGCCTTTTGTCTTGCACATATATACATATACAATATATATATGTGCTAATCAGCAAGAACTTTAAAAAAAAATAAAATCCATGCATATAGTCTGCTAAGCAGCTGAATACAGTAAGACTTAACTAAATCATGTTTGAATCTGGAATATTTTTAAGGGGTAACGTTCTTCACAGTATTATGTACTATCCATTTGTTGGTCTAATGTTTTTTTTGGGGGGGGGGGGGGGGGGAGACGCAGGCAACTTGTACCAACTGCTCGGGACTCTGCTGGGATGTATATTACATTCATCCGATTATGCACATTAGAACATTTTTAATCATACAATTTGTAGCTCTATAAATATGTGTTGAAAAGCTTTTTATTGAGGGCTGAACCAGGTTGTCCCAGTACAACTTTTTTTTTTTTTATCGTGGTTTAATTGTGTAAAATTAGCCTCTTCATAGATGTTGGCAATATAATGGCATAAAGTATTATGGAGTTTTTAAATCACTGCCATTTTGAAATCCGGTAGGAGCTGATTTCATGAAGAAAGTGTTAAGTTGCAGATATCGTGCAGCTTCATACATTCGGTTTGATCTTAGTTTAAGGGAATAAGAGAGATTGCTGCTATCCTGCTACCATCTTACATAATTGCAGGAAGCCAGAGAAGAAATACAAATAGAATCACAAGAGGAGAGTGTATCTGATTAGTTGTCAATTTGAGAAGGAGTTCTGTTCTTCAGCTCTTCCCACATTATTTATGCAATTTTGTTTTGACAGAGAAACATGGGCTTTTAGCCTCACCGGACTAGTAGCTGTTCAGGTTACAGATATTTGGGGTGGGGGGTGGGGAGAGAAGAAGTATGCAAATTAAAATCTCATCAATTGAACTGCACATGGCTAATTCAGCCGGATGATTTGATTAGCATAAGCCCCCCACAAGAAAGCTTTAAGCATACATCTATAATGCCGAAAGAATGAATATGGATCTGAACAAGGGCATGTTCTAAGTGCATGACTGGAGGATGAATTTGGATCCCATTTCCGTGGGGGGCGGAGGGGGGAGGAGGAGCGGGGAGAAAGAAAATATAAATTCATTCCTGCATTTATCATCTCATTAAGGTTTAGCATAAGGAAGTTGCTAACCTGATTCTGCCTTTTTCTTGTTAAGCATATCTCTTGCCTCACTATACCACCCCCTCTGCCTACGGTCATAATGTGCAATTGAAGACTAGGAATGTATGTTCTCTCTGCATTCCAGCCCGTCTTCTTTTGGCAAAGGGAAGATTCACAATAAAGAAGATCTGCAAAGAAACACTACCCAGTTGAAAAGACGGTGTGGTTTTTCAATGTGGAACATCACTTTTTACGTTGTTAGGCTAAGAGAAGACCTTCACACAAGAGATTTCAATAATAAGCCAGGCTTTTTAAAATATGTTTTTCATGCCAACAAAGCCGAGTTTAGGTTAATTCTCAATAGGTGCTTTTCCTTTTTTCCTTTTCTTTTTCTGATTGCAGAAGCGTAAGCAATTTAGTGCTTGCGATATTCATATACAACAGTGATGTTTATCTTGAGTTAACAGATATATATATCTAGGCAGCAGGAATAAATGTATTTATGCCTTCCTTAAGCATCTCTGGGACTGAACACTCTGTTATATTCTCATATGGTTGTAATAAGCCTCATCTCTGTTTCCTGCCAATCACTCTGTATTTTTGAGAATGGGAAAATGCCTTTATTTCTTAATTTGAATTCTTGCACTCTTACATTTTCATATAACATTTAGGGGAAATACATGTTGCCTTCCTGAGTTGTGTACCAACTTGTATCCATTGTGTGCATAAGGTTGGCGATTTATAATCTTTATTATTTAAGCATTATTTCTTTTTTAAAAAATGCTAAGACTTGGAGAACAAATGCCCATTCCTGGTTTGAATGAATACAATTTTTTTTCTTTTTTTTAAAGAGTTCCTGTGTATTTTTCCTTGAATTCTTTGGTATTTGTTCTTCCTTCCCATTCCCTCCTCTGCATAATTTGTTTTCTGATTTTTATTTTATTTTATTTGGATTTTTTAAATAAAGGCTTCCAGTTTTTACATTAAAAAAACCTTTCTACACCTCTTTTGTAAACAAAATGATGAATTAGCTGAACACTTTCTCTTTTGGACTTTTTTTTTTTTTTTGTAATTTCATATGTATAATTTTGCTTTAGTTTGAAGCAGTTATTGGAGCAATGCATTGGCAAAGAATAATTAACGTTCTCTTCCATACTATGATTTCAAATTAAATTATGCATACACCCTAGTTAGCAAAAGATGCAGGTATTATATGAAAGAAGACTACAATCATTGCCTAGATGCAGAGAAAAATACTTAATTTTGTGTTAAACTTTTAGATTTACATGTACAGCAGGAGAAAAAGGAGTAAGAAAAACCACAACTGGAATGTGAACAGTGAGAAGAGGCAATTTGGTGCCTTCCTTCAGGCAATTAAAAATGCAAATTTACATTCATATCAACTTTGCATCCCTGAGATGGATTTTTTTTTTTTTTTTGTAAAATAGCTTTAGCTACTTTTTTTTTTAAAAAAAAGTTTATGAATCATGCAGTACTGTAATAATGTTGGATTTCTGGACCCACAGTCTGGGAATGAATTTATTTTAAGAGAAATATATTCAATTCCTCAGAAAGCAAAGAAAACTATTAAGAAAACATAAATTGGTAAGGCTAAAGCAGTATGTTTTCTTTGCAAGAAACAACGTATAAATAATTTGTCACAAGAATGCATGATATATGTCAAATTTATAATGATTGGATATTATTTCCAGCCATTATGTCTCATGAATGTTAATAAAAGGCAATGGACTTGGTTTTAGGATATTTTAAGGATAGATTTTAACATGCTTATTTAAACTAAATTCTACAAACTGGATTAAATCTAAAATTTATTTTATAGGATAGTGACAATACACAAATATTTAAACCTGATCTTTCTTTAGTTTTCATGACTTTCATCCATTTGGATGGACCAAAATGCCTTTTAGATGCTTTATCATAACTGCAGGCTTGATGCATAAACCTGAGTTCTTCATTCAAACTTCTCATCTGTATTGGAGATTGAAGCAACACCCATTTTAAATAGCCCACTCGTAAAATTGTTGTTTGCAAATTAAAATTGAGTTTTGTTTCAGTTCAGTCCAGTCAAATGGAAAAACCAAATTGGTACCGTAGTTAACTTGCAAACAGTTGGGGAAGAAAGTTAACCATGTTGACATCAGACATTACAAACTTTTGAAGACTTCTGGCTATATAAAATTGTTCTGGCCATGATGCAAAAAGTTATGTTTTTACTTAAAGATTATGCTGTTACAATAAACATTTAATTCTGTCTTCACCTTTGTATTGATCTTACTTAAATTGAGGATTGTGGACATGTAACTACATATAAATTATAATTTCTAGATATTTGTGCTTTTTTTGTATGTTTCTGAAAACTTTAAAAAATAACAATCAGAGTTTCCCAGAAATGACACAGAATTTTCAGTTTCTTGATTTTTGAAGTGCATTTTTTCCTCTTTTCTTCTCTTCAGGCTGCTTCATTTGTTTCTCTTTATTTTCCTTCTGGGTCTGGAACACGCAGTGGTAGAAATGAAATGTAATAATGATTATTACTAAAGGAAAAAATTTAAAAGTGGCTTTTAGAGCAGAATATTGATGGAATAAGTAGAATTAAGGGCACATGACTACTTTCAGGTATAAAATGTATAGCTACAAAATAGGTAAAGGTAAAGGTTCCCCTCGCACATATGTGCTAGTCGTTCCCGACGCTAGGGGGTGGTGCTCATCTCTGTTTCAAAGCCAAAGAGCCAGCCTTGTCCGAAGACGTCTCCGTGGTCATGTGGTCGGCATGACAAAACGCCAAAGGCACATGGAACGCTGTTACCTTCCCACCAAAGATGGTCCCTATTTTTCTACTTGCATTTTTTACGTGCTTTCGAACTGCTAGGTTGGCAGAAGCTGGAGCAAGTAATGGGAGCTCACCCTATTATGCGGCACTAGGGATTCGAACCGCTGAACTGCCAACCTTTCGATCGACAAGCTCAGCGTCTTGGCCACTGAGCCACCACGTCCCTAACTACAAAAAAATATAAATCCTAATGTGCCATTCATGTCAGGAGGTACAGCTTTGTAATGAAGTTTAGACTATAACAATCTTGAAAAATTAGTGAAAATAAACAGCTAAGGAAAATCTAAAACGACTTTCAGTAGCCTCACGCTAATTTACGTTCAGTGCTTAGGTCTATCTATGTATTTTGGCTTCAGAGGCAAGCTTTTTCTGAGAAGTCTGGGTCTTTTCTCGAGGACAACAAGTAAAACTGCAAAGAAGAGGAAATGAGTAGATTTTCCACTCCCAGTATGTTGCTGTGAAGTGGAACAAGTTGTAATTTTAACCTTATCAGTGTGAACATGTCTATATCATTTTTGTACCTATTAGTGATAACTATGCAAATATAGGTTCCATTTTCCATGTAAGATTGGTCCCTCTTCTCTATACAGAGAAGGTAAAGGGGGCAAATCTCGATGTTTTTGTGTAAGCAATCATATATTCTATTGTTCCCTTTCTTCCCTGCTTCTCCACCAGCAGCTCCTTCTTTGTCTGTCTGAGATTAGGTTAGTTAGAAAAATATTTTCCAGAAGTTGGTTTTTATCATCTCCTTCATGTTCAATCTTCTAAGTAGACCAGGTCAGAAAACAGATACTGCTTGATCTACTGGAGATCAGTCACTGTAACAGCAATCTTGAAAGCTTCCCAGAGATTCACTCACTCTCCTTTTATACTAAAGGAAATCCAGGCAGCACAATCTTAAATTTCTCACTCTAGCCAGGCTAAGCTGACATTTGCTTCAAGCATCATTGAAATCTTTCAAAGAGCATGTCTGCATGCTCCTCTATATTTGCTTACCACTGCTAAAGTTTGGCTGTAAAATTTCAGTCTTCCAACCTAGATCAGCTGGCAAAACGTAGGTTGCAATAGGTTTGAAAATCATTATCTCCTGGCGGTGTCCCTTCACAAGAACGGGCAAGCAAATACTTACAGAACAAAGACGAAAATGTCACTTGGGTTCTTTCACTCTTTAACAATAGCTTCACTGTGGTTTTCATAAATCACAATTGGTTCAATTCTAATCAAGCTGCAGAAAAAATGAGCCATAACTTAAAAGCCACATAAGCAGGATAAGTCAAAAGCAATAATTTGTATTTCCTAATGAATTATTCCTCCACTAAGATGATTGTTTCATTAATAACTGGGCTGTTATTGGAATGGCGAAGTCCCTAGGAAGTCACGTTGGAGACTTTCATACTTTGTCTTCTTCCAGTCAGTCCAAAACAATTCATTCACACTTCTTTGTAGAAATGATAATGGGGATGATGATCAGAAAAATAACTTCAGAGTTTATCCAGAGAATCGCTGTATAGCACGGATGAGCAACCATGGCTCCTTTCCTACCTTTTAAGACCTCTGGACTTCAACTTGGGCCAAACTATGTTATAATAATAATTTTAATTAGCAATTTTATGATGTTTGTGTAGCTATATTTTTCTTGACTGTACACCGCCTTGAGTCCTACGGGAGAAAGGCGGTATAGAAATATAATAAATAAATAAATAAATAAATAAATAAATAAATAAATAAATAAATAAATAAATAAATAAATAAATAAATAAATAAATAAATAAATAAATAAATAAATAAATAAATAAATAAATTTCCAGAATTCCTGGGCCAGCCAGCCATAGTTGTTGCCCATCCCTTGCCATATATAAGAGCACTCTCTCTACCAGGTATCTTCAGTTTCCAAGTCCACCTACATTTCAAACAGTGAAGACGGTGAAGGGAGATAAAAGATGATGCAGGGACATAAGTAGAGAGGACGAAAGTTAGGAATCTTGTCAAAAAAGATTCTCTTTGGGAAGGTAGATGAAAAGTTTGTGTTTGTGTATGAGAAAGAGCAAATGTAACTTGTAACCGGTAAAGTTTTGCTGATAACTTTAAATTCATTGGGCTTCTGTGTATTCCAAAAGAACCCGAATATGCCTCAATGTTCGGTTGGAAGTGATTTATTTGTGTTTCTAATCATTTCCTGGTTATTGATCAGGGTGTGTCTTGCCTGGTCTAGCTACACCTATCTGAAAAGCCCAGGCAAGGGTAGTGGTGGTGATGTTACAAGATATTGGGGGGCGGGGGCACAGATTTATTTACACAATCCAAACAATGACCAATTGTTTTCTGACAATCCAGGTAACAATCTATTGGATAATGAGTTTTAGTCAATTTATCTATAAAGAGCGAGCCTTCATATCTAAGCTATCTAAGCGTTTAATGAATGACCTATTAGTGAAATAGCTTTCCTAATCGGTAACTGTAAATATGAACTTTTATTTCCCTTTTATAATATATCTACTTTTATGTCTCTGGATGGAAGGAACATGACTAAGGCAGAAATAGCATAGTCTTAACACTGGTTAATACTGGGCAATGCAGGCGAGCCGGTGCAGTGGTTAGAGTGCAGCACTGCAGGCTACTTCAGCTGACTGCTAGCTGCAGTTTGGCAGTTTAAATCTCACCGGCTCAAGGTTGACTCAGCCTTCCATCCTTCAGAGGTGGGTAAAATGAGGACCCAGATTGTTGTGGGCAATAGGCTGACTATGTAAACCGCTTAGAGAGGGCAGTAAAAGCACTGTGAAGCGGTATATAAATCTTAAGTGCTAAGTGCTATTGCTATTAATATTGTAGGAAGGAAGGAAGGAAGGAAGGAAGGAAGGAAGGAAGGAAAACAGAATAACAGAGTTGGAAGGAACATTGGAAGTCTTCTATTCCAACTGCAGCTCAAGCAAGAAATTCTATACCATTTCAAACAAATGGTCCAATCTCTTTTTGAAAACCTCCAGTGTTATAGCACCCACAACCGGAAGGAAGGGAGGGGGGGAGGGAGGGAGGGAGGGAGGGAGGGAGGAAGGAAGGAAGGAGGGAAGGAAGGAAGGAAGGAAGGAAACTTTTGGATTTAATATTAAAGCAAACTCCTGATTTCAATATTATATATTTGTGCTTAATAACTGTTTAACGGTCTAAACCCTATCTCGGCAAGCTATGCCCAAGTAACCTCTTGGGAACTTATTGACTTTCTAAGCTGTGAGCCAAAAGAATATTTAATTTTAACAACTTGCTCTCTCCCAATTTTGAACTTTAAACAAGCTATATTTTGTTCTCTGCCCACAGAAAAACCAAATTATATTTACTTATTTGCTTCTCATTGATTTTCTGCAGTAATTTTTAACTGGATGCAGTAGGAGAGTGAGATATATTTCCTCAAGCAATCGTTAATGTGTGTGTCAATGATGTATTCTCAGCCCTCAAAAAGTATATGAATGTCAAAACAGATGCCTCAAAAATCCACATTTCTATCCCAATATGTCAGCCGTTGCTTCAGTTATATTAATTAGCGTAATGCGGCATGTGGTTGAGTGGGTGTCATTTGCAACCATTTAATGGTGAAAATAACATTTTCCCCTTCTGTTCATACCAGTTCCATATGTGCATTTAATTTAACTACATTCTGGGATAAACCACACAGTTATATTAACTGCATTATTGTGTCTCAAAGCTGTCTGGGTTTGATTAGGACTTTAACACAGGGTGAAGGTGATTTTAGTTTTTATCATGCACGCTACACTGATGGAAATAACTTTTGACTGCACTTGTTCCTATCTCCCCCCCCCCCCCAAAAAAAATTCTATATTGGAAAATAGAAGAATTTTCTTCTGAGCATAAGAAGGAAGCAACATTTTTTTAAAAGAAAAAGAATCATCTTCCATTTCCCATTTATTACGATCCAGATCTTATCATCCATGCTCACATCCATGCTATGTCACAACCTGTCACAGGCAGAAATGTGCTTGATGCAAAAGGAGTTTAATTGAACTGTTTGTATTTCTACACCTTTCTAGAGTCAAATATGCAAACAAACAAACATTCTGTTCCAAAAAGCCTGTTTACTAAGAAAAATCAGGACATGACTGTGCATTATGTACCTTAAAAATCTCACCATGATTGGATCGAGTAGAATGGAAACAAAACTGAACGGAATTGAAAACTCACAAATTAAGCCGATTCGATTTCTAACTTCTATTGTGACTGCATTAAAAACACTATCATAGACTAATCATTCAAAAAACCACTACTATATTGGGCTGAGATATTTAAAATATAAAAGTCGGTCTATTATTAATCTGCCTTCAATGTTGATCTGAGCGAGAGACAGAATTAGCTCCATCATCAGCATGCAAGCATGTGATTTATCATTTTCAGTGGTGAAATCCTTCAGTTTCCTCAGCGGCTGGCAAAGAGATGATTTGGCAAAGCTCCGTAGAAAAGCGGTCCCTATTGTCATTCTTTGGAGATGATAAAATGAAAAGAAGCCTTGAAGAACATTCAGACTAATGCAAAGCAATAGCAATAGCACTTAGACTTATATACCGCTTCATAGTGCTTTACAGCCCTCTCTAAGCGGTTTGCTGAATCAGCCTCTTGCCCCCAACAATCTGGGTCCTCATTTTAGCAACCTCAGAAGGATGGAAGGCTGAGTCAACCGTGAGCCGGTCAGAATCGAACTCCTGGAGTGAGCAGTGAGTTAGCCTGCAGTACTGCATTCTAACCACGGTTCCTGCCATGATGCCATTAATGTCTCTGGGTAGGTAAGAACAGTGGAGAAGCAAGGAGTTAGCATGAGAAAAAAAACAATATGAGAAATAGCATGGATATCCATCCATCCATCAACCCATCTATGAATCCATCCATCCATCCATCCATCCACCCTCAGGTGCTTTGGAGAATAGCTTGACTCTCTCTTCTTTGTGGCAACCCCTGAGATATCAGAACACTGCTATCATGTCACCCCTAGTCCTTTATTAAACAATGAAAAGAAGCTTTATATTGCATGTTTCCTTCAATTCAAATGCTTCTAAAATGGAACTGGGCAAATTGAAGCAGTAAAGGGTTTGGCTCAAGGATAGGGTTTATGAAGCAACATTTCTTGAACTCTAATTGGGAGTTCAAGATCCTGTTGGGGACTAATCAGGATCATGAGTAATACAATGTTATTATCTCGGTGTGTCAAACCACTACGAGAACTAGCTCCAGGATGAGGCTTGAATGATTTCTATGCAATCTAAAAGGCTTTTCTTATCTGTTATGTATGTTGAGTGAACACCCAAACACCTAGTGACAGCAAATGCTTGAAGTTCAGTATCTCAAAATCTGTGCCCACATGTGAAGGTTTTTCTGAAAATTAACCATGAAATTGTTTGTCACTTGCTCCTGCAGCAAAATGGCATATTGTGGAGTGGATTCCTGTAATATTTATTAAATCTATATGCCACCCATTTCACTGTTGATGCAACCTCAGATTACTTGAGCTCTTCAGAAAAGTGTAATATAAACATTGGTTATTTCTAAACAAGGAAACAGCAAATGTAACTGCAGAAGACAAATCACTTAACTTTGGGTTTGCAAATTTAAGAATATTTTATCAAGTAAAAGTAATATAAATGCTGATTATTTCTAAACAAAGAGCATTAAAGAAGGCAAATCCTTTTGGGCTTGCAACCTTAATGAAATAATATTTTATCAATTATAATTCTGTCTTATTTCTCCAATTCCTACATTGCAAGGAAGTTTTGGCAACAGACTTATCCTTTCTTTAAATGAAAACTTTCTTTCCCTGATACATTGTCTGAAGTATTAATTTCAACCTTGCCAGAGGAAATCTACTGAAGTTGTGATTTATTTGTGTCTATTTATTTATCTCGAAACCACCACATAACCAGGCCATCGATACTAATGGCAGCAGAGTTACAGATCAAGAATGAGGTGAATTGACAACATTTAGAAAGAAACTCTCAGTTTTGCTTGTAGCTCTTCTTATGCTCCATCTCTTACCTTGGTGTCACTGTCAACCAAATCAAACATGGCATTAACCAAATTTAATACACACACTTTTGACCATATAAATAAAAGCTTGAGAATGAGTTAATAATTATGAGGACTGCTGCAGCATGGAAGGAACTAAAGTTTAATCTTGTGTTCTTTACTAGAGTCCTGGAGAAACTCATTCCTTTCATGCTGCTATTTGCACTGGGAATAAATCATCCATTAATGCAAGGAGGGGAAATTCCACCCAACGCAACCTGACTTTTAACATTCTCTATTTCCATATTTCCTGAGGTATGACAAATAGAATTTTATAGTTTCTGACCTTGCTGAATACTTGCCAAAATAAGTTGAATTCTACAATCCGTATAGACTATGCATAACACACACGCACATTTTGATCTGTTTCTGCAAGTCCTGAGAAAGAAAAAGCAGCTATATGGTTCCCTATTCTCTGTATGGAAGTCTTTTAAGGATAGATAGATAGATAGATGATAGATAGAAGATAGATAGATAGATAGATAGATAGATAGATAGATAGATAGATAGATAAATAGATAGATGATAGATGATAGATAGATGATAGATAGATAGATAGATGTGTGTGTGTGTGTGTGTATTCTGAATATATATATTCAGAAATAACCTCTGATAAGTTCAATGTAGCTTATCCCAGTATTTCTGAACCTCAGCAAGTTTAAGGTGGGTGGACTTCAACTTCTAGAATTCTGGGAATTGAAGTCCACCCATTTTCAACTTGACGAGGTTCAAAAACACTGCCTTATTCTACAGCAAATTTGCACTGGGGTATAACAATAATGAGGACTAAAAGGTAAAGGTAAAGGTTCCCCTCGCACATATGTGCTAGTCGTTCCCGACTCTAAGGGGCGGTGCTCATCTCCGTTTTAAAGCCGAAGAGCCAGTGCTGTCCGAAGACGTCTCTGTGGTCATGTGGCCGGCATGTCTAAATGCCAAAAGTGCACGGAACGCTGTTACCTTCCCACCAAAGTTGGTCCCTATTTTTCTACTTGCATTTTTTACATGCTTTTGAACTGCTAGGTTGGCAGAAGCTGGGACAAGTAACAGGAGCTCACCCAGTTATGCGGCACTAGGGATTCGAACCGCTGAACTGCCAACCTTTTGATCGACAAGCTCAGCGTCTTAACCACTGAGGACCACATCCCTCTAAAATCAATTAGATCCCACTAAAATCAATTAGGATCTGCAGCCCAATCTTACCCATGCTTTCTTTGAAGGAAGTCATATTTCAATCAGTTGGTATTTTATGTTTGCTACCTATATTTTTCTGTCACATTTACATGCATAACACTTAGAAACATGCTTTAAGCGCGCACAAGTTGCAACACAAGCACACGGGGGATTTTCCAAAAGTTGAAATGCAGCAGATTTCCCTGCAGTTCTAAAGAACTGTACCATCTGCAGTTCCCAGTGCTTCCTAGTTTTCTGTTAACCTCACCTTTGATTGAGATCTAAGGATATCTTGAGATCTGAGAGAAGCTGGCACCCTTTGTAAAACAACCCTAAATAAATTTATTTTGAACTCCACTGATACTTAGATATTTCTTTTTTGGTCTTGAACATTCCTTGTTAATTTATTTATTTTTTTGGCTGTATCTCTAGGTTCACAACCACAAATTGCCCAATCTGGCGGTGAATTATTGCTCTTATCAAGTTCTCTGACAGCTTGATTTCAACAAACGGAGCTTCCCTTCAACCTGCAATTTTAAGCTGGCAGAATAGAAACCTCGACCTGCCAGAACAAAACTCTCTCACGTTCATTAGGAACAACATTTCATTACCTTTAGGATGAAATTGTGCCAATAAAAGGCCACAAAGAGCTGCTTAGAACTCCGTGACATAAAGACTGCTATTCTAACATAAGAGCAATTAAATCATGCCAGAGATGGTAGCACTAGTGCGGGTATTAAATTAATATCAACAACCTAATAGTAATTACAAAGTATAGCTGTCTTAGGTGTTTGCAAGCTGTCAACGTTTCTGAAATACATTTTTAACCACACAGGTTCATAAGCATGTATGAACAATTCCAAAGTAGGGAAAAGATGGAAACCTGTAAGATGAACCAGCTTGGACATGTATCTGAAGGATGGCCCCTCATCCAGATGCCCTTTAACAAGGGTGTCAAACTGGATTTCTTTGAAGGCCAGATCAGCACTGTAGTTCTCCTCCATGGGTCAGGTGGGGAGATGGAATGGACACCTCCTGCAGCATTTTGCCGGCCAAAATAGGGCACAGGGGATGTGGCCCGTTTTCAGCCTGGACTGCCTCCTGCAGCACTCTGCCAGCCAAAACGGGCCACAATAATAGTTTAATAGCAATAGCAATAGCAACTAGACTTATATAGCACTTCCTAGTACTTTTACAGCCCTCTCTAAGCGGTTTACAGAGTCAGCATATTGCCCCCAACAATCCGGGTCCTCATTTTACCTTCCTCGGATGGATGGAAGGCAGGGGTGGGTTCTACTTACCTTTACTACCAGTTTGCATCGTGACATTTCTCAGGAGGATCCAGATAAGCATTGCCAGGACAGAAGAAGCTGTAAAAGAGTGGTTGGGAGAAAAAAGAAAAGAAGCTTTCCGTCTCTTAACCTTCTTAAATTAAAGAAGGGGAAGTTAAGCTAAAACAAAAGCAAAAACAGAACAAGCAGTGGCAAAGCTATTTCCATCAGTCTGCCAAAAAAACCTGAATGGAAGCACTTACTAAGAATCAAGTTCATCTAAATCAAGTTTATAATTCAGAGCCAAGCTGTTATCTCCAATAGTTGTTATCACAGCTCTTTAACATACTGGATTTTTCTCTACCGCTGAAATATCTGAGGAATTCTGAGCAAAGTTGAACAAAGCTAATAATATTTTTCCGTGGACTAGAAGGAATTTCCCCAAATGATTTTCCCAAATAATTTTTTTTAATGATTTCACTCAGAAATCATTCAGAGGAGGCAGCTGGCAATAAAAACCCAGTGAATATAAATTTATCATGTAGCTGAAGTACAGTTTATTCAGAATCTTCAACTGGCCGGCTAGTAAACAATAATAAAAACCAAATATATAAATAGGGTTACCAGATCTGAGCTGCAAAATTAGGAACAAGTCTCTAGATGGCAGCAGGGAGTCAAAGGATTTTTTTAAAAAAAATAACAACTCTTTGATGCCATCTTGTGGTCGCCTTGGTTTATGGCAATAACAACAAAAATATGCTAACTGCTCACTGTACCAACTTCCAGCCTTCTGTAAGTTATATATCCTGAAAGAAATGGGAAGGGGAGATTTTGACAGACTCCGCCAAGGATTATAAAACCAAATCCTTGAGGGCCTCTTTCAAGGAGTAACAAGGAGTGGCCCCTCCTACCATCCAATTGTAATAATGTCTAATTTCTAGACAAAAGTTAGGTGGAAGGATAGCATGGCTGCTGGCAAAATACATTTGAAGGCAAACATGGACAGTGGCCAGATTTTCAATTGACTACGCCTGCCCAGTCCTGCAAAAAGGAATTGCAGCGTGCCTCCCCCTGCCTCGTTCCCCCCACCCCCCAAGGCCCGATTGCTAACAGGGTATAATTACTCTGTTCAATCCGAGGCTGTAAATTGCCCGGCTCGTAAATCTTCATTTGCACTGTTCATAAATGAGAAATGATTTGGAATACTTCAAAGAAAAGTTTCATTCTCCGGAAAAGAATGTCGAACTTGTCCTGTGTCTTTTGTGTTTTCCCAACCTCTCTGACTAGAGTGAACTGCATGTGTTGCAACACTCTTTTTTGTTTCCTGACGGTGGTCGGTAATAATTTACAAGAGGAGAGATTGTGCACAACTGGAACTTCAGCATAAAAAAAACATTCTTGACAGTCTAATTTCTGTTCCACGTTGATCTCCACTAGATCCCATCCTGACCTTCTGGAGCTAAATTGCTTCTTTCTGGATTTTTTCATGGCCCCATTTTCTTTCTTTTTTTTAAAAAAAAAAATAGACACATGCACCTTTACCCACTATCCCATTTTCCAATTATTTTCCATATTAAGAACACCCCTTAACAGCTGGTAGAGGTATTGCTAAGGACTTCTTATATCTGTCTCTTAGGTAGGTGAAGAGATGAAGTGAACGTTATGGAGATACGACAGAAAATAGATAATACCAGGATGTGTTTCGCTGAGTTTAGGTACAATGAGGAAAAACTCTCTGACAAGGTGGTGCTTTAGAAATCTTTGGGATTACAATTCTGGCAATTAAAAACCTCAGTCTCTGAAGGCCCAAAGTTGGGAAACACTACCATAAGCCATATCTATATTAAGGGCCCTGAGAGTCATCTGAATAAAGAACAACATGGGTTAATCTACATGTTTTTATATTATTATCCATTATTTTCCTTATGCGGTAAGAACTCAAGGAAGTATACATAACACTTCCCTCATTTTTTTTCTCTCTACAGCAATAATGATTTGAGGAAAGAGGGCCTGAGAAAGAGTGAGTGGTCCAAAGTTACTCCATGGAGTTTACACACAAACACACACACACGGATAGACGCAGTGGTGGGATTCAGCCAGTTCACACCACTTCGGGAGAACCGGTTGTTAACTTTCTGAGCAGTTTGGCAAACTAGTTGTTGGAAGAAATCATTAGGGCAGAGAACCAGTTGTTAAATTATTTGAATCCCACCACTGGATGGACAGATGGACGGAAGGCCACTGGCTGAGGGGTGTATTGATAATACAATGCAATACAATTATAATACAATACATATACATATACATATAGATATATAGATGTACACATACATAGATACATACATACATACATACATAAAGTGTTTTTCTGTCGAAGCACCTGGTCTACCCCAATATGGGAGGGAGCATCCTGCTTCCCTTTCATCTTTCAGCTCCAATCCAGGAGCCCTCAAGCAGTCACATTCACGACAAACCATTTTATATCAAATTTATATTTGCTGATAAAGAAATAAAGGGAGACTAATATAGATCTATTTCAAGCTATTTAGCTCTCATCAGCTAGCCATACCCTTACTTGGATTCGAATTTTGGCTGCCTGCATATTAGGCAGTGGACAAAATGGTTTGTCGTGAATGCGACTGCTTGAGGATTAACACTTAATCTCTCCCCTGGCTCAAGCTGATAAAGGGAGGAGAACTTGAGGCTCAGAGATTAATACAACTACCTAATATGCAGGCAGCCCAAGTTTGAATCTGAGTAAGGGTATGGCTAGCTTATCTCTAGGGCAACAGGAGGTCTAGGTCAGCGGTCCCCAACTTTTCGGGCAATAGGGACCAGTTCTGTGGAGAGAGGTTTTTCCACAGACTATAGGGGGTGTGTGATTTTGTGTGCTGCCTGCATCCCACAGATGGGTCTTCGCTTGTTCGATTTCTGGCATGCTGCGGCCCGGTGCTAGTCTAGATGGCATGTTTAACCTTGTGATTTGGGTGAAATTGGGTGGAGAGAAAGGAATTGGCCCAAAGTCACCCAATGTGCTTCAATGACAGGAATGGGACAACTTGCCACAGCAAACTTGCTGCAGCAATCTCACTGTGGCCTACTTTCCACAGCCAACTCGCCATAGCCAACTTGCAGTGGATAAACTCGCCATGGCCAACTCGCTGCAAGACAACTCGTTGCAGGACAATTTAACAATTCTATTGAATTACTGAAAACAAATACAAAATATTTTAATTTTTGCCATTTATATTTCATTCTGTCCCTCCTTTTGCATCCTTTTTTAAATGATTCTATTCCACCATTTCTTTGATATTACTGTGACTCTTGTCCCTCAGCGAGTTGGCCGTGGCGAGTTGGCCATGGCGAATTGGCTGTGGCCCAGGGGTGAAATTCAGCTGGTTCTATCCGGCTCGGGTGAATTGGTAGCGGCGGTTGTGGGAGGCTCCGCCCAGCCATGCGGATGTCATGACGTTGCTTTTTTTTTTTTTTATTTGATTTATATGCCGCCCTTCTCCGAAGACTCAGGGCGGCTTACAATGCGTTAAGCAATATTTTGCAAAAAACGTTTTGCAACATTTTAAGCCTATGCAAATGCGCAGAAGGCTTTGCACATGAGTGGACGACGGCGTGCACAAGCAAAGTGAGCGTGCATGTGGCACGCGCCCATTTGCGAATTGGTAGGGAAGGTAAGTGAATTTCACTCCTACTGTGGCAGGTTGGTCATGGCAAGCTAACTGCAGCGAATTGTCATAGACCCTCAATGGCTGAGGGCTGCCTTGTACCAGATTTCCTGTCACATCTGCAAATCAGAAGCATAAAACACACCCTGACAAAGTGTTCCTGAGCTTTGTGTCCTGTTAAGAAGAGCTTTCTTGCCTTATTTCATGTATTTATTTTTCCTCAACATGCTTGACCTTGATTAGGTTAAAAACTGTCACTTTTTTTAAAAAAAAAAATTCTCTCCTATACCAAGGTAGGCTTGTTTTGCACGAACAATAGGTCTTTTGTTCATTAGAACACATTCCACCACACCTAACTTCCTGAGTTTTATTTCCCTTCACATGCATTTTCTTTCAGTCATAGCTTTACCTGTGTTCCTAGGGCTTTAGGACTGTTCGTTTGATTTGTTCTTAGAGAGGGAAGAAGAGCATTAAAATCGGAATGCTCCTCTGACTTCCATTATCCTAGTATTGTACACTGCTGAACAGCATAACCATAATACAAATTGGCTGGGGTATGTTTTGCTCCATTTAATTTAAGTACCAACTCTTGTTTCTCTTCTTCCTTTTCTCTCCACTCAACTCACCTGCCCATCCATCCCTTATTTATAATAGAATAGAATAGAATAGAATAGAATAGAATAGAATAGAATAGAACAGAACATAATAGAATAACAGAGTTGGAAAGGACCTTGGAGATAATCTAGTCCAACTCCCTGCTCACGCAGGAGACCTGTACTAGGGATTCGAACCGCCAAACTGCCGACCTTTCTAATCGACAAGCTCAGTGTCTTAGCCACTGAGCCACCTAGTCAGGATAAATGGAAGAAGAGTATTGCACCATAAAAATGTCTTGCCTGCTGGCCAGCTTTACAGAGGCTCGTTCATATCTGCAGCACTTTTAAGACTTACAGATCAGCGTAATAAGCGAAGGTCGTGACAGTGTTCTATGGAAAACAGATCAACAAAATAAATAACAGAATAATGTGGACCTTGGAAATCTTCTAATCCAACCTCCTGCTTAGGCAGGAAACCATTTCAGACAAATGGCCGTCGAGTCTCTTTTTAAAAACCTCCAGTGTATGGAGCACCCACAATTTCTGGAGGCAAGTCGTTCCATTGATTAATTGTTCTAATTTGCCAGGAAATTTCTCCTTAGTTCTAGGTTGGTTCTCTTCTTGATTAGTTTCCATCCATTGCTTCTTGTCCTACCCTCAGGTGCTCTGGAGAATAGGTTGACCCCACTTCTTCTTTGTGGCAGCCCTTGAGATATTGAAACACTGATATCGTGTCACCCCTAATCCTTCTTATCATTAAACTAGACGTACCTGCTCTTCATATGTTTTAGCTTCCAATGGCACTTCCAGCATCTTTTTCTTACTGCTGTTTTTCTTAGGGCGAAGTGGCTGTTTTAGCCAAGGTGCCAGAATGATGCCAACAAAAACATAAAACTACAAGTATGTGTAAACCTTATCCTGGCTGAACTTCTGCATAAGAAACAGAATGAAGCTGCTTTCTCCTTTGCTGTCTTCTCCGCATCTGTTTTTGCCCTACAGCTCCATTCATGTTTCGATTATGACATCAATGGAACCCTTTTTATGTTACCTCTCTGTGATATTATTTGATCTTTGCCATACCCTTTGTATAAATACTTTTGCAGTTTTTTTTTTTTTTTTAAATGTATCTGGAACAGCTCCTTCTTCGGAGATGTCTACCAACATTTCTCCGTTTCCTCTAATCTCTGTTATGACAGGTTATTGCCTGAACCTTCTTCCTGTGTTCCAGCTGATTGTCTGGGATCTTCTCTCTGCAGCATGTTTCCTTCATCCATTTGTGTATCTGCCAGTCAGTGTCACAAGGCATTTCCTGTTTCATTGCTCCTTGACAAGGTTAAGCCAGACTGATGATCTGCAGTTGTGCTTCGCTTCATTCCTTCCTCACTCCCCTCCTCCAGTGTTGGGAGGGTGTTGTTCCATATGTGAACTCTGAGTTATGTGTCAAGAGCTGAACTCAGGCCAAGTGTCATGAGTTAGCTTTTGGACATTCACATTCAGTAATTCACTTGGGAGAGAGAGAGAGAGGGAGGGAGGGAGGGAGGGAGGGAGGGAAGGAGAGAGAGAGATAGAGAGAGAGAGTGAGTGAGAGAGATAGGAAAAAAAAGGATAAGGAAAGGGGAAGGAAACCTATTCTCCCATTTTTCCCTCTTCCCAATTGTCCTGGGTTGTTCTAGATTCAAAGCAGGCAGGAGAGGAGGCAAAATTCCACCAATCACTTTACTTTTTGCACAAGTGCAGAATAGGTGGAACCTGGCTCAGCTGTGAGAGGGATTTCGGAGTCCTAGTGGACAGCCACTTAAATATGAGCCAGCAGGGTGCTGCAGCTGCCAAAAAAGCCAATGCAGTCCCAGGCTTCATCAACAGAGGAATAGTATCAAGATCACGTGAAGCATTAACATTTAAATTTTCTGATAGTTTGAACAATAGTTCAATAGTTTGATAGTTTGAAATGACTTGCCCCCAGAGCCGTGATGGCGAACCTATGGCACGCGTGCCATAGGTGGCACGCATAGCCATATCAGTGGACACATGAGCTCAGCTCCGGCCTGATTTTCGGGCCTTCTGGTTCCACTAGAAGTAGGGAAACAGGCTGTT